GAGCCAAAACTGTGCTGGGCAGCCTGAAACACAGGAAGAACTGCCAAGACAGCTGGTTTATCACGTAGAAGGTAAAGCAGGGATCCACCTGCCTGACTTGAGCGTGTCTCTACTACTTGGTATCTGTGGACTCCTGGGCACTCTCCTCCTACACATTCCTTTCTTGGCTCATGTCTGAAATTGGGTAACGATCAAATGTTACAAGAGTTAGAGTATGATGTATAACTTTGGCACTGCAGAATATGCTCAGTAACGTTAGATTTATTACTTTTAATATCTGACCAAGCCCCTGCTTCTCCAGGCTCACTGGTTCCCATGTGGTTTATTTAGACGGCTTTTCCAGCAAGTCCTGGCACAGCCACTTCCCTGTTCCAGGAACAGGCAGGAAGTATTTCTCCTAGTTTAACAATCTGAGATGCGTGGTTAATGTAGGTGTCACATGCTTGGTGGGAAGTATCAGGCGATTCAGAATACCCTTGTTCTTCCTGGAACTTTCTTGACAACAGAACTTTCTCTTAATAGCACCAAGCCAAGTATTAGGATTGTAGGGCTTTGAATGCTGAATAAGCACAAAGAAATGGAAAATAAATGGAAAGGGAAATGAGTAGGTTTCTGCAGTTGGATGGAAGTATCAGGTAAGATGGCTGAGTCACAGGTTTGCCAACCTTCACAACTGTTCTTTCTGACTGAAGGGAATGAAATAATACTGATCACACTGTTGAATCAACAAGCACCAGTTAAGTGTCTCGCCCTGACAGTCCATGTGCTGGCTGTTGAGAATTTAGAGAGACAGAAAACCTGTAAGAACTGCTCCCTGCCCACCTGTCCATCCTCTTGTTAACGATCTCTCCTTCTTTGCTCTGCCACCCACGGATCTTCATAACCTTGAATGAACCAAGCTCTCTCATCCAGCCACAGGTTTTCTACCCATTCAGTTCCCCGTGCCTCAATGCCTTGCCCCCCAACACACACACACACACACACACACACATCTCTCTAGCCTGGTTGATTTTAAACTGCCTCCCCCCAGTCTAGTACCTCATTTTCACTTATTCATAGGAAGTTAAGGATATAGAATTCTGGGACTGTGCTTAGAGCAGTAATGTTTTCCTAAAATAATAACACATATTCCCATCCTGGGACTTGGAGAAAAATGTTAACTGGCTTGGTTTTAGGCAACTAAGAAGTGGATTTGGATAAGTAATCCAAATCTAGTTAATGCCTACTTTATAGGCATAGTAGTTTTAGAATCTTTCAAAAATTAGGGACATTTCCATTTTGAATTGCAGGTTGTACTTTAGTATTTCTTGACATAATAAGATAGAAATTTCAGAACCCCAAGAGATGGGTCAAAGGGTTTCCTGGAATATGAATTGTGGGAACATAACTGTATATGACCTGCACTATTTCTCCTTTTTCCTGGTAGGAGAGGTTTATGATTAATATCCCAGAGCACCAATAGAATAGGTCTGATAGAATAAACCTGACAGAGATATGCTTATATGTGTATAGTGTATGATGCTTTAATTTCCTCAGATGCTCTCATTTAACAGATTAGGAGTGTGTAGTAATCCAATTATAATTTGAAGTTCTGTATTTGTCCTGAAGCAGCTATGATTCCAGTGGTATAGTATATAATATGATTTCATTAGAGATCTTTTTTTTACTACTACAAGATAAATACGATTTTCTTGGAAGCCTTTCTGTGATTTGTTTCTTACTAGGAGCATTATTTAAAAGTTAATGGAAGACATTATTTAAAAGTTATATTGAATTAATTAGCTAATTAATTCATGCAGGACACACAGCCCAGTCATTTCCACACCTGAGTGACATCATATCTTGTAATGTTCATTAAACATTCTCAAACATTAAGTCTGAAAAAACCAAAAGATCCTTAAAACAGCAAAGGAGACCAGACAGGGATGAACATGGTGGATGTCTTTAGCCCACAAATATGTTGTTCTACCTGGCACAGGTACTGGTTCCACTGTTACTTCACATTTTGTGCCAGAGCTTATGACATACCATTTTTCCTGCTTGAGATATTATGAAGTTGTGAGAATTCTAAAACCTGCAGGAAACTGAGGACCCAGGTTTTGCTCTGTTGTCATTCTAACAGCAGATGCTCATCCTCACAAAGCTACAGGTTGACTCAAAAGTAATGTGACCTGATAGGAGGGAAAATGTAAATGTGAGCAAATTAGCTCTGAGTCTATTTAGTTTCCCTTCCTTGGATTTCTGTGTAAGGAGGGAATTATCTCTGGCTTCATGAAAGGTAAACACCCTTATGTTCATAGTTAGTACTCATTTGGCAAGGATTTGGGAACTTACTTCTCCGTTATTTAAGAGCCTCCACCTATTTCTAATGTGATGCACAGCATTCGTGTATAAATTTCCTCTCTTTTTAGCACATTCTTTATTTCTAACTGACACTGGATTTCCCAGGATCAAACAACAAAATGATAAGAAATACATTGTAAATTAAAACAACTTTTTCCATTTCAAATGATAGACTTGCCCTCCAGAAACAATGATTTTTTTTTTTACTAATTCAGTGATTTTCTCATAAATATAAATTTTTAATTCTAAAAATAATATCTCCAGGTATTATTTGGGATTTTTCCTCGAACTGAGTTTCCTTCTGGCCTTTTAGGAAAGGGAAGAATGACTGAACCAGTACTTCCTTAAAATTACTTAGTTGATTAAAGAGTCATATAACATTTAAAAAAAACTAATCATACTTATAAAGTGATCCTATGAGAAACACTGGTAAGGTAAAAACTTGAGCTGTTTAGTCTAGTGTGTTGAGACGGCTGGATGGCATCACCGACTCGATGGACATGAGTCTGAGTAAACTCTGGGAGTTGGTGATGGACAGGCAGGCCTGGCGTGCTGCGATTCATGGGGTCGCAAAGAGTCAGACACGACTGAGCGACTGAACTGAACTGAACTGAACCCATTTCTACTCCAGAATTTATTAGGTTTTACATTTTTACATATGTTAAGGAACTCTTATTACATTTGAAGATAATGAGTATGAATTTTAATATACACTCTTTGATCACAGAAATGAGTGTTGACAAAAGTAATCATGGCTTATTGTATATAAGAATTTAGTCTTCTTTTTTAGTTCTTCATGTGATAGAACATAAAACATTAATATGGTCTTTGAAAACTTTTGGCATACATTTGTTACATTTGTTTTTCAGTTTATTGTTCACTGTTCTAGAATAACTGCAGAAAAACATAAGATGTTAATTTTTTTGTTCTTTTGGCCTGAGGAGGTCCATAGCACTTGGTTTCTGACTAGTTAATGCTAACAGTGGTTATTATTGTTCTAAGAGAATCCAGAAAGTCAACACTGCAACAAGAAGCATATTTTTAAAATTTATTCCAAGGTCAAGAAAACCCATTACTGCACTTCTTGAGTATATTTAATTAAGAGGTGACTATAATTGGAATATATTTAAGAGCTTTGCTGTATTATTAAAATTTATGCTTATGGCAGGCAATGACAAATCAATAATTTGGAAGAGGAGAGGAAGGATGTGGTTTCTTCTTGGGAACACCAGATTTTAGTTAAGGATATGGAAGGATCAGTTGACTTTTACTCGACATCTAGGGTAACACAGTCGTTGGAGTTATTAAAAGGTCAGCAGAGACGTGAGAAGGCCTGGAAAGGGCTGAGCTGATTCACATTAGTGCAGGTCCAGATAAAACAGTCAAGCAGCAAGTTTTGGCCTAATGTATTAATTATAATTAACATGCATACAGGGGTTGGGATTTAAGGTGGAGAGATGGAAAAATTAGTGACTAGGTAATAGTGGGAAAGACTAGGATGGGATCAAGTCACTAGAAGACAAAAACAGCGTCTCCAACCTCTGAGTGTACATTTTTAGGCTAAAAATCATTTATTGATATACAAACAGGAGGTCAGGCCTTCTCAAATTTGCTGTTCAAGCTGGGCAGAAAATATCCTCAGGGCCTGGGAATTCCAGAGATACTGCGTTAGTGTGACCTGATAGCTGAACTTTCTCCTTTTCACGCTGGGCCACGCCTGGAGCCTAGGCTGTGGCTCGGTCCTGGACTGCGTGCTCCCTGCAGGTTGTGGAGGTTGGAAGGCTCAGGTGTGTAACTGGAGGGCCTTGGGCTCACAGTGTTTCTTTTCTGTCTTCCTTTCTCTTTGAACCGTCTCTTCCCAAGATTTTTAGAAATCGTTCACCATCCTGGACTGACCCACAATTTCTAAAATCCTACTCAGAAACACAGCAGTGGGAAACAGAGCCAAGACTGAAGGGTTCAAATGACCAGATTCTCAACGGTTAGATGAATAGAGGAGTGTCTTGTGTGTATAAGATACTGTGTATATAGTGTATACATTGTGTATATAGTGTATATAGTGTATACATTGTGTATATAGTGTATATAGTGTATACATTGTGTATATAGTGTATATAGTGTATACATTGTGTATATAGCGTATACATTGTGTATATAGTGTATACATTGTGTATATAGTGTATATAGTGTATACATTGTGTATATAGTGCATACATTGTGTATATAGTGTATACATTGTGTATATAGTGTATACATTGTGTATATAGTGTATACATTGTGTATATAGTGTATATAGTGTATACATTGTGTATATAGTGCATACATTGTGTATATAGTGTATACATTGTGTATATAGTGTATACATTGTGTATATAGTGTATATAGTGTATACATTGTGTATATAGTGTATACATTGTGTATATAGTGTATACATTGTGTATATAGTGTATATAGTGTATACATTGTGTATATAGTGCATACATTGTGTATATAGTGTATACATTGTGTATATAGTGTATACATTGTGTATATAGTGTATACATTGTGTATATAGTGTATATAGTGTATACACTGTGTACATAGTGTCTGGGTATCCTTTTACATATATTTGACCTATGTATTTATACCAGGTCTTCTTTTTCAGAACTGTTTAAATCATGGACAAACAAAGTAAGTAATCTAAGTGTTTATTTAACTCCCATCATATTAAATCTCTTGTTAATGTGTTATTTGTCAAAATGTTTTATTCAGTTTCTGAAAGAATTTGGTCTGTGTTGTTTATGTTCCAGAACCCGCAGTCTGGGGCAGTGTTTTGACTATAGAGAAGATGTACACAAATATCCACTACCACTAACTTTACCTTTAAAAATAAAAAAGCCTTAGATAAACCTATGAAATAGGGCTTAAAATAATGAAATCTTAGGCTTACTGGAAAATATATAATATTACGCTTCATCTGAATCAGGTTTCCCTTTTCTTTGTACATTTTATATATAAAAAAAGACTATTCAAGTCATATTATTTAATAAACAATGGATTTAATATGCCAGGACATTGTAATAAAATGCTCAGATACATCCCCAATATATATCTCATAAAATGCACATTTGAAAAGGTTTAAATAAATATGTTTATTTTCTGGCTTTTTTTTCCTCAAGAAAATTCTAAGTAAGATGAGTACTGGCCAAACATGTAATAAAAGACTTTGTCTTTTTAAAAATCTAAGTTTCTGAAGAGAAAAAAATCAAATGGGAAAAAAAAATCCTGTCTTCAGAAGGATCTCTTTTCTCTCTCTTCACTTAGATAACCGAAGAGATATTTGTCTCTACCACAATGCCAGCCTTGCTTCATATATCTGGTCTTCTTTAGGGCCAGAAGCCTTGACTTTCTTTCACAATGTTTCGTGATTTTTCTTAATATATGCTATGTTAATTAACAATACTAAAAGCTTTCAAAATGTAAATTCATGTAATATTAAGCTATTTTCTTTGCTGTAAGCTTTAAGATTCTTCAAATCACTTAAAAAATTGATTGGGTCATGGTCATAATTACCTTTTAACTCTTCAGTTTCATATATACAAATATATGAATTTGTGTGTATATGTGTACATAAGTAGAATGTATATGTGTGTGTGTGTATATATATATATATATATATACAATAAATACATATAACAATATATACAATATACAATATATATAATAACAATAAAATAACTTGTTGACAATATGAAAGTCCTATGATTTTTTAAGTTATTCTGAGTTGCACTGCACAAATGCAGAAATGCATCCATAAGTCATTTGCTCTTTAATCTACTTGAACACTTGCCCGTTCACTTATTGTTTTTCTTTGTATAACTTCCCCCTGGAATTCCTGAAACTGGGATTGTTGCTCTGATACTGAAACCCCAGAGATTATAGCCGCCTAATTTCTTGAATCTGTCAGCTCCTTGATTTGTGTGTGTGTTTACTGTTGTTCAAACAGCAGTACCTGGTAAGAAGTGTCAAAATGTGACATACCATTTAAGGATGGGTCTCTAAGTCACACTTACAGTGTGTTTCCTCGAGATCTGTTGAGTCTTACCCTGTTAGGGGACTGTGGGCAGAGCCCGAGGAGCTGGAGAACTGGAGCTGTCCCACTCACCTGAAGCCAGGACAAAAAAAGAAAAGACGGTTAGGACAGAAGGACTTGTGATATTGCAGCGATGTGTGATAATTTGGGGTATGTTGTGGTCCATGGGGGAAAGCCCTAACTCAAGTAGAGGATTTTCTGTTGCCTGAATTTGCGTAGTATGCATCGACTCCATTCAGCTGAAGTTATTATGAAGCCAATAATGGAAAAAAAAGGGTAGGAGTGGGGCATAACCCAGTCTTCCTGTGAAATCACATGACCTGAGTGGTCTTTCAAGACACATGATAGAGAAACATACAGGAAATGTGTCAGATTGAAAGTCTGGTCAACTTTTTCTTCTACATTCATGCTATGTCCCCATTATTCAAAACTGAACTATTTTGAATTTACAATTGATAAGCCATAGGAAAGAAAGGAGAACATTGCATAAATGGAGTGTCTGCTAGATCATAAATTCCATAAAGGCAGAGCCAGTGTGGCCATTGAACCTAACCGTGGGGTGACACAGGACATGCTAGTAAATACTTATTTTCTGGCCAAGGTGGTTGCTAAAGGGATGATTAGACAAATGCAAATATGAAGAAGTAGGAAACTGAAAAATTTGTACATACATGAGATTATTCAAAGCACACTGATTAGCAGATAGCAAAATGTAATATGTTTGTTTATTGTAATTAACTCAGTTATGATTTTTGTCAGTCAAAATCAGTCAAATGCTGGGAATTCCCTATGGTATAAACTTAATGGGGTAGTTCCAGAGTAAGCATTAAAAGGATATTTAAATACTGAAGTACATGTATAATTTTGAATATTTAAAACATAATTCTTATAGCAACAATTATAGATAGCTTTAAAGTCACCTATAATCCTTCCATTACCAAACCCACATCCAACTAGTTTCATGTATCTGTTTCTCCACAGTCTATGTGTGGTTTTAAAACAATCTATTTTTTCCTCATAACGAAATCAAAATATGGAAGACAACACTCATCAAACTTTTTTGAGAAATAGAAATTCAGTCCCAGTAACTTAGCTGCTATTCAAAGAGAATTTGTTTGAACCAAGATTCGACTGCAAATTACCTTTGATAACAGGCACAACTTTTGTTAAGTGAAGAATCCACACTGTTTCAATACAACACGAGAGCATGTAAATGAAATTATCTAAGAACTATGCATTTTCCTGATATGTATATATATTTTTAAGAAGGTATATGTTTACCTTTTGTTGAATTACAGATGTGCAAATGAATGCTCCACACCCAGGAACAAATTTAACAGGTGAGTATCCCCTTGAATATCCATCAGCAGCATTCCCAGGTAAAAGTTTGCTTAAAGAATTAAAAAAAAAAAATTTATCAGTTATGGACATTCCCCAAAGGATGTGCGTGTGTGTGTCTGTATGTGTGTGCCTATCTCTGTGTGTATTTTAGTAGTGTCTTTTATTAAAGGGGCAATAATGAAATTGACAGTGTAGTACTTGATTTTTTTCTTTGATTATATGTTATCATAAGGATCATTAAAATATTTTTTTCTATACAGGACAGTAAAAACTGTAGTGAGTTGACAGCATATGAAATATAAGGTTGCACATAAATTAAAAACCAAAATATACATATTCAGTAACAGATTTTATTGATTCTCAATTTGTTCTGAAAATTATGGTCATTCAATCACATTTAGGAGATTTGTTTCTGGGTATTTTTGAGTTATTTATTGTCTGGAGTTAACTGTGTTCAGTGATTGTCATGAAAAAGAGAAAACTGCTTAAGCATGGAAGCTTCACTCATCAGAAACATAGCTACCTGGGATAATTCTCACTTTCATTTTGAAACATACAAAAATGTGAAAGCTTTACTTTTATATACATACTCAACTGTGCCTTACCTTTCTAAGAAAATAACTGAGTCATATCACTACCTATACCAAGGAATATATTATTTTTTTTGAACCACTGTCTAGAAGACTTCAGAGATTTTCATTTAGACAAACAGAGTCATCAGCATTTCCAGAAATTTACCAGATGGCAGAGTTCATTTGCAAGTAGGCATCTACTTTTGAGAGACCAGGACTTAGGATCAAAAGGGATCCTGTTTGGCCACAAGGGTTTACACATTTTGTATTCTACTCTGAGCAAACACATCTGCTTGGAACTGAGTCACTTGTTTAGCTGTCTAGCCAGGAACCTTTCAGTGAAGCCTGATCTCCTCCAGATGTTTGTGTTTAAAAAAAAGTGACGTAGAAAGACTGCCAAGGTTCTAAGATGATAGTTCTCAGAGGTGCCTAGGCTTAAGTATTACTTGTTAACTGCTGAAAACACTAGTACCAGGGCACCATCCCAGGAAAATTGAAGCAGGAGCTCTGGTTGTGGAACCCTGGGATTAGTAATTTTTTAATTTCCAGGTGATTCTAATGTGCAGCCAGGGCTGAGAACTGCTACTTGAAATTTTTATATGGTTGGTGTTTAGAGAATTATTAGCACTTGGGGGATATTTTAATCCACCCATGACTAAATAATAGTAGATGGTACATAATTAGGTTATAACCAGACTGGAGAGCTTGTGAGAAAAATAGCTCAACTTTATTTCTCAAGTCTAAGGCTCATGTAGTACAGGTCTTTTGTGATAATGATGCTAACAACAGTGATGGATTGTGGAATAACTTGTTTAGTTCTCAGGAAATATTAACAGGGTAAATACTATTCATTATCCCCATTATGCAAGTGCAAAAACAGTCATAGAGAGACTGGATCAGGCTTCAAGTTATGGCTTCTATATTTAATCATTGTGTAGTGGTTTTAAGCAAGTTGCTGCACCTCCAAGCCTCAGTTCTTGTGTATAAAATGGGCATAATATTTTCTAATTCAGGTGGTCTGAAAATTAAATGAGACTATGTGTAAAACACCCAGCACAATGCTTTACAATTAATAAATGACAAATATTTGCTATTATATTTGTAATATAATAAATCAGTTGGGCTTTAAGTAAATGAAATATTATTTCAGGTAATTCCATATGTCTGTTTAATCCATTGATTTGGAAAATAACTATTCTCTCAAAGAATCCTGTGAAGATTTAATGATGCTAATAATGTAACCAGTTAATTCACATCTCTCCCTCACTGGCTTCTTGTGGTTTGATCTTTGCACTATAGTCAGTGCTGTTTAAAAATAGATATGTTAATGTTACAGACAGTACCTAATGGGTGAGGCTTCCCTGGTGGGTGACTCAATTGTAAAGAACCCACCTGACAATGCAGGTGATATGGGTTCAGTCTCTGGCTTGAGAAGATCCCCTGGAGAAGGAAATGGCAATCCACTAAGTATTCTTGCCTGGGAAATCCCATGGACAGAGGAGCTTGGTTGGCTAAGTCCATGGGTTGCAAAAAAGTCCGACAGGACTTAGCAACTGAAAACAACAAACAACTATTAAAATATTGTAGGACACAGTAATTTCTTTGAAGTTACATTCCATTCCTATGGAACAGTTACTCTGTAGACTGTTCATTTAAGTTATAAAGTTACAAATCTTCATATTTGTAATCACAAATTCATGTGGAATAGAATAAATACCTATTGAATTTCTTCCTCTACTGTGCTTAATAAATACTTGAGACAATTTTGCTTGCTAGAAGTTTTTACCTTCCTTGATTCTCAAGTTGTATTTTCCAGAGACTTGCTAAATTGTGAAATTTAAATTTGGAACATAAGTATCATAATTAAACTTTTTTTTTCCCTATGTGGAGAGTTTTAGGAATGGAATACACCATGGGTTCAAACTTCAGGCAAATTGTTAACCCAAGGGGAGTATCTGGACTAGTGGAAGCAATGGCACGCCTTTACCTATTTACGAGGGTTTCTCAACAAAGGCACCATGATATTTTCGGAAGGATAGTTCTTTTTTTTTTTTCAAGGCACTGTTCTTGTGCTTTTAGGGTATTTAGCAACATCCTTGGCCTCTACCCACCTGATGCTAATTCTACCCTCTGTGACAGCCAGAAGGGTCTCCAGATATTGTCGAGTATGCAACGAAGAGACAAAACTACTGTCAAATCTATACGTATAGGAGATGTCACTTGTTAGAATTCTAGAATCATTTTCTTCACAAGGTGGCTTGGCTATAGCAATGCTGACTCAGAGCCTCTGTTTTGGGCTTTCTACTCAATGCCATTCCTCTTTTTCAAGAAGCCATTTCAGAAGTTTTATGCACCTGACTCTAGATTGTTTGTTGACCTTCTTTTATTTCCTTGGTTTTCAGGCATATTTTCATCTGAGTTTTGAGTGATGAGGATAAGTCTGTGTGGCAACTCTGTACACAGAGCCTAAAACCCTCAAAATAGGAGTGGACATGAAATCACAGATATCTCATTGAAAAATCACTGAAAGATAAAAATATCTTAGAATCCTAAGAATCTTAAATATCTTAAGATTTAACATTATCTTAGAATCCTGTTTCTACAGGATTTCTGAGTAGGAATTGTAGTTTGTAGACAACTAGGGTGATCCTAAAAGACTTGGTTTGCATTTTTCTGTGCAGTTACGAATTATTTCCCATGTTCGTATTTCAGGACCTCCGGGATATATTGGCTGTCCTGGCCCCCAGGCTGGCTATCCAGTGCCACCAGCTGATTATGCAAGTCCTGGCCCAGCTGGCTTTCCTGTCCAACACCAGCCAGTGACTAGTCACCCAGGTGAGCCCACCCAGGTATCATGGATGCCAGCACCACTACCTCCATTAAACTGCCCGCCGGGACTGGAATATTTAACTCAGGTAATTCAATATCTAAAACACTCATTAAAAACAAAATTGTGCTCCCAGTTTACTTAATGAGAATAACAATTGACTAATTCACAAAAGTGTGAAACAGTAAACAACTTTACTATCAAATTACTCTAATTCTTCTAGGTCAGGTCTACTTTTACAGCAAAATGCAAATATTTTAGGAAATTGTGTGTTCTATGATTGTGAATATAATCTGCAGTAACAGCCAATATCAAACCTTTAGTAAGCACTATTTTTCCATGCTTTATCCCTAAGTATAATACATGTATTAACTCATTTAATTCTTTTTAAAAATTCTGTGATATGTAAGTATTATAATTATCACCATTTTACAGAAGAAGAAACTTAGGTCCAGAGAAGCTACATAATTTGCTCAACATCCAAATGCACAAGAAGCAGGAACAAGTTTTTATTTCCGGGACCTTGGCTCTGAAAACTGTGCCCTTTAATCCCAACACTGAATTATTTTCCAGCAGTTGGAAAGAAACATCAAACTCAATTTAGTGTTCATTTTCCACAAGTGGTACTAAGAAAGGAGTTAATAACCTGTGTATAATATGACCTACCTTTTATAATAATTAGAAAATTACATTTTTATGTTACTTTAGTTCTTTGGAAGTCCCAATTTTATTAATGCTACCAATAAGGAAAACACATTCCTGGGTTTTAATGTACAGCATAACGGCTTACCTCAGCAATGTGAGGCTTAGTATTTGTTTGCCATTAGAAATTTGGTAAGTTAGTTTTCAGTAAATGAGCTGTCTCTCTTGCATTCTGCACTAATTTCCCATAATGCACTTGGGCAGCATATAATATAAGAATTTTGGTAGTTCCTAAATTCCCTAAGAAATACCCTAAGTATATTTTTTTAAAGAAAAATTAAGCCCTAACAATATATTTGGGGAAGTCATCACCTACCACAAATGATATCAAGCACACTTTAAAAGAAAAATGTTTTTTATTTGTAGAAAAAAGCTCTTTAAATGGATGAAAAGGTCTTAATATTTCTTAGGCCCTTTCTGGAAGGAACATTTTTTTTCTAATTTTATAGGGATTCCAGTGTAAGTCAATTTTGTTTGCCCTGAATTTGCCCACATTAAAAATAAACACATTTCAGTAGTTTTTAAAAATATACTAACTTTAATTTTATACCTAGATGTGAAATAAACCGTTATTAACTATTGATAGTATTGATAAATGTTGATAACTGATTATATACATTCTTTTAAAATATACAAACACTGATGTTAATTTGTTTGGCTTAATAACATGGTTACAGCTCTTTTTTTTTTCTTTTACTATAATAGATAGATCAGCTATTGATTCATCAGCAAATGGAACTTCTGGAAGGTATATATTCATTGTATTTATCATATTTCTAGGAAGAAAGGACATTTATGCAGATAAAAGCATATCATCAAACACAGATATAACACTTTCAGTGATGTTGAAATTAAACCTGGTTTTAAAAACCATTATCTGTGATAATGATAATCCTGATAAGGATCATCAGCAGCTCATTTTTTGAAATTAATAGTCAAGTGGTAAAATACCATTAAGCTGGACATCTGTCCTCATGATACAGACCATGACTTGGGAGGAAACCAATCAAAACTTACTTTTGTTCAATCTTCTCTCTAGAAATCACTTCACTGATTCTATCTCTAACCCACCCTAACGTCTATCTCTTCCAACTTTTTTTTTCCCGTTTGTGATGAGCTTGAGATTGTCAAAGAGCCACATGCAATAGTTCAGTTACCTTACTACATTTTCCAAAGTAGATGAACTCTTGACTTTGGAGGGATGGGGATGTTTTGGAAAACCTCATTATTGTCCATGGTTTTTATTGGGAGTTCAGATGAACACTATAAAACCTTTGTTCCACGGGCTATGAACTATCACCTTGGCACAGGGCCACCACACTGAAGGGTGCTGACCAGTCAGCCACGCCTGACTTCCTAGGGTGTCGCTGCCGTTCCTATGAATGGGGCCTGATTCCTACAGCTGTTTCCTTTGGCCCAGAGCTCCTCAGGTGCAAAGCAAACATGAGACAGCCAGCAGATGCTTTAGGGCTGCTGCCAGGGAGAGAGCCTGGGTAAAGTCACGCGCCAATGTATTTTCCTTATGGACAATTCAGTGAAAACGCTAATAGATTTTAGAATATATCTATTAAATCTTTCTCTACATCTCTGCGAAGTTCTTTACCACTGATTTTTGACTGCTCCGTCTTTCGATGACTGCTGATGCCCTGTGACTCAGCCAGCGAGGGCTGTGGACGGGCGTGTGCACGTGTGTGAAGTTGCTCGGTTGTGTCGCACTCTTTGCGACCCCAGGGACGGGAGCCTGCCGGTTCCTCTGTCCATGGGATTTTCCCAGCAAGAATACTGCAGTAGGGTGCCATTTCCTACTCCAGGTGATCTTCCTGACCCAGGGATTGAACCCCCATCTCTTGCCTCTCCTGCATTGGCTGGCACTTTACCTCTGTGCCACCTGGGAACCCCTTGTGTCTCATAGAACTGCCACATTTATCTGTGCTCTAATACTCTCTCCTCCATTCCTGTCACCTTTTTTCTATATTTAGATCATTCCTAAACACCTTTCCTTTTCTTCCTCCTGTGTTAAAGGAAGTGCCATCTAAAAATGGTAGAGCTAGACACTATAGCATCTTAGGAGAGACTGATGATTGTTTTAACACTGTAGTCATAACGAGTCCCTCCTTTATGTTTTCAGTCCTCACAGGGTTTGAAACTAGAAACAAATATGAAATTAAGAACAGCCTCGGACAGAGGGTCTACTTTGCGTCAGAGGATACTGACTGCTGCACTCGGAATTGCTGGGGGCCTTCTAGGCCTTTCACCATGAGGATTCTTGATAACATGGGCCGAGGAGTCATAACTCTGGAGAGACCGCTGCGGTGCGCCTGCTGCTGCTGCCCCTGCTGCCTGCAAGAGGTGGGCGAGCGCTCGTGCTCTGCAAGGTGGCTCTGTAGGAATGTCCACCTCATCGGTGAATTTACATAATAAAGTGAGACTTAAAGGTGAAGTGTTCACCAGCCATTAGTTTATGCTCGAGAGTAACTTGTAGGAAGGAGGCAGGTGGAAAAGAGTAAGCCGTTAGCCGCACCGCCCTGAGCAGTGTGCCCTCTGGGCTGAGATCAGAGAGCTCAGAGACCAGACTTCTTGATCTTCAGGGAGAGCTGAGAATTAGGGCACCTGGTCACGTCCCTCACCTGAAATGACCACGAGGGCCTGGCCAAAGCCAGATGAGAGCCCCATAGGGAATATCCTCAAATGCCATCCCAGTAGCAAGTGGTCAGAAGAGTGAGGAAAAGGACACATATGTTCATCACATAATTTTAGCCAACCTGCAGGGAGCTAAGGAGGGCTTCCCAGGTAACTCTAGCAGTAAAGAACCTTCCTGCCAGTGCAGGTAGATGTGCGTGAACTGGGTTCCATCCCTGGAGTGGGAAGATACCCTGAAGGAGGGCATGGCGACCCACTCCAGTATTCTTGCCTGGAGAATCCCATGGGGAGAGGAACCCAGTGGGCTACAGTCCATAGAGTCACAAAGAGTCTGACACAACTAAAGAACCTGCCTACCAGCGCAGGAGACCCAAGAGATGCAGGTTCAGTCCCTGGGCTGGGAAGACTCCCTGGAGTACGAAATGGCCACCCGCTCCAGTGTTCTTGCCTGAACTATCCCATGGACAGAGGAACCTGGTGGGCTGCAGCCTAGGGACACGCAGTCAGACGTGCCTGAGCACGAATGCGCACGCAGGGAGCGGCCCTAGTAGAGGCTCCCTCTGAGAAATTTCAGTTCCTGTGTCTTTCAGTTCTCCATTTGAAAAAGTAGTATATTTGAGTTCCTGTAATTCCTACTACAGGACACGGCGAGCTGTGAGCACCTTCAGGCCCGTAAAGGCCAGATGTCTCTTCCATAGCACTTGACAGCCCTCTGACAGAGAGCACGGGTCTCGGGGGGACCCCCGGGCGCAGAGTGTTAGAGGAAGCTGACCTTCGCCTGTACCTCCACTGGCCTGAGACCAGTGCTGCCGGGGCTGCTCAGTCGTCCACACAGATCACTGTGAGAGCCGGGCAGACAGAACTACAGGCACATGGACATTTGATGTCTTAACACTGCACTGATTTTTGAAAGGATAACTGAAGTTGTTCACACTGAATTATTTTGTTTTCCAAGTCAATTAGTTTAGATATAATAATATTCAAGAATAGCTGAGGTAAAACAGAGTTTGATAGAATATGCTTTACAATTTATAGAGCATGTTAGCATATGATTGGCCGTAATAAACAGATCTAGGAAGTCCTCAGTTACAGATGAACATGCCAAGATGCTCTCAAGGTTGCGGAGTTGAGGTTCAGCTTCAAGATTCCAGGCCCCATCTTGTTTCTGTCCTAGCACTACTGACCTTATTTGAAGATTGCTCCAGTGATCAGGGCTCTGTCCATACATCTAAACCCCTACTTTCAAAGGAGTTTAAAAAATAGCTCTTAATAATTTAGACATTTTTCATAAGTATGGAAATTTAAAAATATACGAGACCGATAGAGCAGTACTCCAGAGTGGATGCGGGGCATGTGGCCTCCCTGAGCTGCTGTCTCCTCTCTTCCGCTTCGCCACTGGGGAGTCTGATGCAAGTTAATTTACCTCTCTGTTCCCCCCTTACTGACTCTATAAATAGGGGTAACAGTAGCAACCTGGTAAGGACATGGAGTGAGTTAACTGGTGCTTAGAGCAGTGTCTGACAAACAACTTATATATTCTTTTGCTTTTGTAGATAGAAATCCAGGCTCCTCCTGGTGTCCCAGTAGGTTACGTGACTCAGACCTGGCACCCTTGCCTGCCAAAGTTTACAGTTCAAAATGAGAGGCGAGAGGATGTGCTAAGAATTTCTGGGCCATGTGTTGCCTGCAGCTGTTGTGCAGATGTTCATTTTGAGGTAAGACATGTGATAATGTTTCTAGGTTTTGCTTTCTAGTTAATAGACTTTAAACATGGTGGTTTCTGTGTAGAGGCACTGCATATTATCCCTTTGAGTGGGACATTAACCTAGTCATTCACGTCTGGTTTCCTTAGTCTGAATCACAGGCGATCAGTGCTCTAAGCCCTCTTCAGAATCTCTGGCATCTTTGAGTTCCTACAAAAAGCCCAACTACGCAAAGAGAATTTTAACAACAATAATATATGAGGTACTACCCTACCATGCTTCTCTATGATCTGTCCTTTATCCTTGTATTAAAGTAATTAGAAATCACAATTTATCTGTGTATTTACTACCTCAAGAAACTTCATTTCAGCAATTTTTCGACAAATGGGGCCCAGGTTTACAGCCCAAATTAATTGGATGCAAATGCTTAAAAGTCAAACAACTATAACACTTAATCTTGATACCACAACTCTCTTGTATAAGCATAAAATCTGTTAAACTGGACAATTTCTACAGAAGGGAAAAATTCTAAAACTGAGTAGGGCTGGCCCCCTTATAATGAACCTATAGATTTCTTTTTAGAATAGTTTATCAGTTATTTGTATTAAATTTATAAGTTAATCAATGTAATAGTAATATAATATGTTTATTATTTCTAGAAATTGAAATCATTTTATTATATAGGTTTTTGTTTTTAATTTTTTTTTTTAGAATTTAATTAAAAATCATCTAGTCCTATTGACTTTCTAGTTGTACATCCGTATATGCTTTTCTGTTCCTTTCCATTAAAAATTTATATATTCTACTTCTTACATAAATTTTTGGTGAATTTTTAAATTCCTTTCTATAGAAATCAAAAAGAAAAAAAGGAAATCTTAATATCTTGTAAGTTTAGTAGTAGGATTGTGGTGGCTGATAAATTATCTTCTGTATATTTCGTTTAAAATTTTTCAAAAATTAAATTAAAAATAAAATGTAAGGTATAGATGTTTAGATGACAGCTGTTAGCAGATGAAGCATGCGAGTGTGCACTAGGGAATTTTATTAGTCTGTTTTGCCATTGTAGCACAACGAACAGCCCCTAAAACCCAGTGGCTAAAGAAAACAGGAATTTATTCTCATGTTTATGGATCTTAAGGTCAGCTGTGTCTGGAGGATATACCTAGGCTTAGACAGATGGCCCTGACTTAGGCTGTAAGTTGGCCTCGGGTCTGCTCCAGGTATGTTCACTCTGGAGTTGCATCAACAGCAGCTGTCTGGATCATGCTTTTTTAGTGGCTGATCACTGGAGAGCAGGACCAAGGCCATGATCTCTGCTATCTAAGATCTCTGCTGGTGTCACATCCATTAAGCCTCCATTGGTTAAACAAGGAACGTGGCCAAGTCTTAATTTCAGTGAGCAGGGAAGTATACTAATTTCAGAGGGAGGACACTGAAATGACTATTTGATGAACAGTAACCCAGGCTATCACAGCATTCTTAGTAGGTGTTTATTTCATGTTTTTAAAGAGCTTAACTATCTACATCCAAATAAAATGAGTCAATGTTTTTAATCTCCCATATTTAGTGGCTGGTTTCAGCCTAAGAGAGGGCTTCAAATGTTGTTGCCAGCATGTGTGGTGCCTCGTGCACATCTGAAAAGCACGCTTCCCTTCCTGCTCTGATACAGCCCTGCCTATAAATACCCTGGCGAGTGTGGGCTACGTTCAGCCCCCAAATGCCCACGTTGTGAGGTGCATTCCATGGGCTATAAGCTGTTCCGTTCTTTATCATGGGCCTGAGCTTTATTCAGATAGAAACATACAATTAGAAAAACTTTGTTTTGGAGTTCTTTTGTTTCATACATCCTTCCTCTTTTATTGTTCAGTCCCATTCTGTTGTCCAGTCTTACCCCGAGCCTTGACCTGGGGCATCCCATCAAATTACTTATTGGTTACTTTACTTCACTCAAAACTGCCATTCCTCTTTTCCAGCCTCTTGGCATTTTATGTTTTCCTGAGTCCTTCCATCACCTTTAAACACTCGACCTATGTCAACTTTCTGTGCTAATCTTAAAGCTGAAGTCAGATTAGAGTTTCATTTATTACCTGCTCCCCCCACCAGATGGCTTTAGAAATTTCATTCAAAGAATAATTTCATAGTTGTATCTTTTCCTTCTTGAATTTTATTTTGGATAGATTCAACTAATTTATTACTGTATATCGTAATGGAGAATAGAAAATGTTAACTATTTCAGCTAAACTACTTTCATATTAGTTCTCTGTAGCAAATAAAGTTTTTAAAATGAATCTGTAAATATAGGAATCTACATTCATCTACTGAGTGATATAAAGTTCACAGTTATGAATGGCATATAATTTTAATATTGGTTTCATTTTACTTCTACTTGGAAAGTAGCTTTGTTAGTTTGCTAGAAGTTTTTGTCCTTTTTTTTTTTTTTTCCAATTTAGGTTAAATCTCTTGATGATAAGTATGTGGTTGGCAAGATTTCCAAGCACTGGACTGGCCTTGTTAGAGAGTTATTTACAGATGCCGATAACTTTGGCATCCAGTTCCCGTTAGACCTTGATGTGAAAATGAAGGCTGTGATGCTTGGCGCATGTTTCCTCATTGTAAGTTTACTCCTGCTAATCTAGGGTACAGATGGTTTCTCTAGTTTTATTCTGAAATAATTTTTTTAAATTTGTAGGTTTTATCGAAAGTGGTCCTGTTTAATCTTAGCTCTGAAATTCCATTTTCTTCTGCTACTCTTGGTTCACAGGTGACCAGCTCCTCTCTGGAGAGTCGGTAGTTTCACACTGTAACAGAAGGATCTTGCATGTTAAGGAGAAGTTCTGGTTTTAGTGGTTAAAAAAAAAAGCCACTACCACCACCAATAACAAAAAAACCCCAAATTAGTACTTTGGAGAAGAGTTTGAATCTTCTAGTGTGTTTAAATGAAATATGTCTCAGTGAAACAAGGAAATTTCTTTCTTATTCACTATTAAACTGTCTAATACAGAAATACAAACTTCAATAAGATTGTACATTTGATCAAGTCTTGGATGGAACTATCAATTGAGAGGAAATATATGGAATACAGCATTGATTCTGAACTTGCCTTCACATTAAATTAGCTAGGAAGTTTTTAGTAGTAAGCCATACCCCAGTTTAACTAAAGCAGAAGCACACCATTAAACGTCCGTGTAGCTCCCCAGATGACTCCGTATGTGGCCCATGTCAAGGTCTGGGGACAGACAGCGGTTTTCCACCCTAGCCACACAGTAGGAACACCTGGATAGCGTTTTCACGCCCTCTGTCAGGACTGTACCCAGATCCAGTAAACTAAATCTGGAGATGGAACCAAGCCATCAAGTGTTCAAACTGTCATATGATTGCAATGCAGGTGAGGTTTGGAGCCACTAAATTAATATCTTAAACACTGACATGCAGAAGCAATCAGAAAAAAAAAAAAAACACTAAAAAGTGAGAGAACATACAGAAAAGGATTCAGTTACTTCAACAAATAAATATCAGAAGATAAAAATGAAAAGAGAAACATCAGCTTAATATAGTTTGTAGACTGTGTTTGGATACTGATTTAAACAAACCAATATAAAAAGACATTTACAAAACCTTCATGCACATGTGAACACTGGCTATTTGATGATATTAATGAATTAGTAAGGTTTTTAAAATGATGTTGTTATTATAGTTATGCAAAAACAAAACAGTCCATATTTTTTAAGGGTACATACTGAAATATTTCAGTACGAAATGATATGGTTATTTATCACAGATTTGCTTTTAAATAAGGGCAGTGAAGCCAGGGGGACATAAGGGATGGATTAATCGGTGAACTAAGCTGGGTGAGTAGTCACTGGGACTTTATTATGCTATTCTGTCTAAATTGGGATAGACGAGATTTTCTATATAAAATTTTAAAGATAACCACAATTCTGTTTAAAAACTGTGCTTTCAACAAATGTTTATTTCACATGAGAAGAAAACTGTAATCTTAATCTTGGGGAACTGTTTAACCAAAGGTTTACACACCATAACCAAAGATATGATGTGTCTAGGGCAGAGAGAGTGATGTCTGGTTAGATGAGATATGGGATTGGAGGGTGGTGGGGGGTTTATGAAGTGAAAGTCCCTCAGTCATGTCCAGCTCTTTGTGACCCCATGGACTATACAGTCCATGGAATTCTCCAGTCCAGAATACTGGAGTGGGGTTATTAGGAACTGAATATAGGGTAGATTGGGCAACTTCTTATAGACCTTGGGAAGATACTAAAAATTGTTTAGTTAACTGGTTAGTTTTAAGCTATGGATAAATAAAAATAATTATAAATCCAAATTTTAGAATGATAAATCCTGATGACCAATTGTATTAGTGCAACTGCAAGTGAATGGTTATAAAGATTCAGTTATTTCTTTATAAAGGGGTAAAGGAAAATGACAGATGTGAGAGCTAAAATCCATACAGTTTAGAAGTCATAGGGATGAAGATTTGGTTAGAAACGGACGGGAGTAAGACGAACTGAGGAACAGAGAGACAGGCTTGGGAGAGAAGTCATAAAATTGGGCCCCAAAATTCTAAGATATTATTCTAAGTCTAAGATGGCTGTCATTCTCCTGAAACAATCTAAAAATTGTACATGAAACTCCATGTACAGTCACAACACAAGTTATGTTACTAAAGAAGGAGTTCAAAAAGTTGAGGCAGAAAGATTGAAAGAAGAACATTCTAAGAAGCATGAAGAATAGTGAAACTTGCAGAAATTACCTGAGAATTACTTAAGTTCATGCAGGTATCCATAAATGAACAGAATTGTAGGATTTAATTGCCTTCAAACTGGAAAGTTGAAACTATCACTTTTTCCTAGATCTACCTATTACAGTTGATTTTTCTTGTTTAGCAAGCATGTTATTTTGTTTCTTCAGATCCCTTAGCATTTATGCATCTGAGAGCTGATCTCTGCTTGGTGCTGAAAACTCATTTCTGTATTTTGTTTTTCTCTAGGACTTCATGTTCTTTGAAATGATTAAGTGAACAGAGAGCAGGAGTGTGATAGTACATTCATGAAAGTCTCAGAAAATCTGAAGTCCGTACCTTGATTGGGATTATGTAAAAGAAAATTGTGTGGATATTTTTCTTTAGGTAAATGACTTATTACAGCATGTGTAAATTATACTAGGATACCTGAAGCTTCAGGCATATGATTTTACTTTGCAAATTAAAGAGTTTATTTTCTATATCACTTACCTATAAATGTTTTTGTACATTTTCTTCTTCATTGTGCATTTTGGAGAAAGGCTATAGAAATTTTTACATTTAAACATAACTTTCTATGATGAATTGCTTTGAACTAGAGTCCCTGCTTTGTTTTCAATCTGTACAGAAAAATTAATTAAAGCCTTTTTAAAGTAATATTAATATAAACATATATTATTTTATTAAATATAGTTATTTCCTATGTAACAACTGTTATTTTGCAAAAATGGTATATTCAAAAAAGTTCAAAATGAACATAATTTTCAGTGTTTATTTTTACAATTATGCTCAAATAATACTCAATATTCATATTGTCAAACGTATTTTTTTGTTCAGAAAATCACACTACATTTAACTTCTATAATCTGCAACTATTAACATTTTTATATTGACAAGACTATAAGTTACCAAATTTTGATGAGTTTTCATGAATAAAAGAATGATTGTGTACCAAAGAAGGACACACTTAAAGATTCACTCTAAAACTGGGATACTATAGTATTTTGAAGTAATTATATATATATGGAATAATTAGCTTCTGTTCTACATTCTGTCATTCATGGAATATAGTAGTTTTCAGATCACTCAAGTGTTAATTAAATAGAACATATATATTCTGTCCTTTTATATAAACATATATAAATGTTTATAATGGTCTATTAGATTATCTTTGCCAACAATTAAATAATTAAAACATTGCTGATATATTTCTTTGAATGTTTGATTTTTGTTTTTGAACAAACTGGGAACAGTCAATTCACATGATTCTGAACTTTACACATTTACCTCACTTTCCCTTTCAACTCTTTAAAGAGCTAAACCATAAGGTCATCTTTGGTAAAATATGTATATACTTGTGCTGGAAACTGAGTTTTCTTCCTGTTAGAAAGTTAGTGCAATTTTTATACACTGGTTTGTAGGGAAAACTGAATCAAGTGAGGGGAGATGTCCAGCCCACCATTTACCTCACGGAAAGGAAAAAGTGTTTAGGAGATAAAGAGCTTAGGGGAGAGGTTCTCTCCTAAGACTAGGAGACCAGCCCCCAAGGGTGGCAGAGGAGCTGGGGGGGCAGGGATGCGAGACCGCCCTTCATGAGCCTACGTAATTCACCGGCTGCCACACCCAGTGACGAGGTGCAACCGGGCACCGACATCAGTTTACAGTTGGTGCAGACAGCATGCCAGATACGGTGAGGCGTTTGCAGAGCTGGGTTCTAGTGGCACTAGTTATGCCAGTTAGAGAAGGGGGCTGTCCAAGCTAGCTGTGATGCCACAGTCAACCCAAAATGAGGCTAAAAGGACTAACATTATCCCTGTGAGAGCTATGTCTTGTTTTCACTTTCCCCTTCCTCCTCCCAATCTCCCCTACTCCTCCTCCTCCTTCAGATAGAACTCAAGATCTCTGGGTAAGTAAAGTAAAACTGCAGCTTATCTGAACAGTTCCTTCCTTCTTCAACTACACAAAGAAGATCTGAGCAGAAACTAAATACTAGAAGAATATGCTCTCATTAAATATTTACAAAGAGAAGACTCATCATACATGGAAAGCTGCAAATTTATGAAAAACACTAGGACTTGCAACAAATGTCTTCATTGGTAATCTCAATGAGATTTGAAGGAATGTTGCATATTTATTCCTGGAACAGGCAGAAGAGAAAAAGGAACACTCTGATGAGGAAAAGTTTTAATAAAATTGAAAAGTATGATAACCACCCTTTAAAGTATGATGGAGACACTGGAACAATAGATGGCATTCGTTAGAAAGATACCATGATACAATAAAAGATATTTTAAAGAATAATCCCAGAAGCCAGATAAACACACGGTACAGAGAGGAAAGGTAATTCCTGAGGAATTAATTCCACATCAAGTCACACACAACATAAATTCCAGAAGCAGAAATTAAATGGAGCGAAGAGAATACTTTATTTCCAATCAAAACAGACTGCTGTCTCTAGGTAAATGGATTTATCATATACAAGAAAAATTAATGAAAATGACCTACTTGTAACTGTTGAAGAATAATTTCATCACACACAAAATTTCAGGTTATTGGTTTTTTCTCTCACTAAATATTTCATTCCACTCTTCTTGCTTGCATGGTTTCCGAACAGAAGTCAGATGTTATTCTGATCATTGTTTTTCTGCAGGTATGGTGTTTTTTCCTGTTTCCTTTCACAATCTTTTTAATATTTGATTTTATGTAGTTTAAAAATAATATGCTAGGGTGGGGTTTTTTTTTTTTCCTCCTCATATTTTTCCTGCCTCATGTTTGCTAAGCTCTCTGAACCTGTGGGTAGGTGTCTGACAATATGAGAAAATTCTCAGTTATTATTGTTTCAAATGTTCCTTCTGTTTGTTCATCTCTTTGTCTTTCTTCTGGTATTCATATTACATTTATGTTACACTTTTGTATTTTTCCACAGTCCCTGAATTGTGGGTTGTTTTTTTTTTCCCAGTCTTTGATCTACCTGCTTTTCAGTTTTGGCACTTCCTATTGAGACATCCTCAGATTCTTTCTTCAGCTGTGTCTAGCCTTCTAATAAGCTCATCAAAGACATTCTTCATTTCTGTCGCAATGTTTTTGATCTACAGAATTTCCTGCTGGTTCTTTCTTAAGTTTCCATCACTTTGTTACCTTATGCGTCTATGTTTGCACTGTCTACTTTGTCTATTAGAGACCTTAGCATTTTAATCGTGGTTGTTTTAAATTCCTAGTCTGGTAATTCCAACACCCCTTCCATATCTATTTCTGAGGCCTGTCTCTTCAAATGTGTTTTTTGGCTTTTGCTATGCATTGCACTCTTTCCTGATAGCTGGGCATGGTATGCGAGATAAAAGGAACATTGTCAACAGGGATTTTTGTACTGTGATTCTGACGTGGGAGAATGGAAAGTGTTCTGTACTCCGATGATTATTAATCATCTCAGTCTTTTACTGAGCTTTCCCCTGTGGACTGGAAACGTCACAAGTATTTTTTTCAGTATTTTTTTTCTCCCTTCTTTGATGCATCAGGAAAGCTATCAGTGAACTGGAGCTGGGTATTTCCCGTCTATCGCATGAAAGGCAAGAGCTGGATGGAGTTCGGTGTTTCCTTCCCACCAGATCATTTAGGCCATGGCTAACTTTTTCCTGAGGGCAGACCTTGTCAAGAACAGAGTGCTCTGGCGCCTTTCAACATGACCCTCCCCTCCCCGTGTAGGAAGCACGAGGGGGCCTAAGCGCTTTCATTTACTGGGAGAACCTGGTTGAGCTCCCGAGGGGGCCTGTCACAACAGCGGGTCCCATCCTCCGCACGCCCACCAGTGGCAAGGCTCTTGTGGCGTTTCAACTCCCTGACTTGCCCACGTGAGTGTCTGTGCACCGACGCATCCTCCTTCTATGACCCTGGTCCCTGTGGCCTTAGCTCCAAAGGCCCTGACTCCCGGTGCTCACCTGTCTCTTCAGTCTTGGGGCAGCAGTTGGCCTTGTGACCTTACTTCTGTTGCTAGATCCTAGAGTTAACTTTTCAGTCAGTTCAGCTTTTTATTGTTCAGGACAGAAGGGCAACTTTCAGGCAACTTCAGGCAGAACCAGAAGTCAGGAAATGAAAGTGAAAAGCTCTCAGTTGTGTCAGACTCTTTGCAACAACATGGACCGTAGCCTGCCAAGCTCCTCTGTCCATGGGATCCTCCAGGCCAGAATACTGGAGCGGGTAACCATTCCCTTCTGCAGGGGGTCTTCCAGGCCAGGGATCCCAGGTCTCTCGCATTGCAGGTGGATTCTTTATTGTCTGTGCCACGAGGAAAGCCCAAGAATACCAAGTGGGTAGCCTATCCCTTCTCCAGTGGATCTTCCTGACCCAGGAATCGAACTGGTGTCTCCTGTATTGCAGGCAGATTGTTTACCAGCTGAGCTACTAGGGAAGGTGGAAGTGGCCCTTTAATTTTTTAATGTCAAAATTGTTGCTACAATCAAATTCTTCTCTAGCTTGCATTTAGGTTGTATTTCTCCTTTTCATGCCTTAAAATAGAATGGTAATTTTATTATGAATATGAGCACATTTTACCCTATATTTATCTATCTTCTGTTTGTCATTCATCTTCTTTACTAGAGTGTGTGCTCTTTCTGGGTAAGCTCTGCCTTGAAATCATTTTCTTATCTATCCCTGAAAATGACAGAAAGGCTGTCCATTGCATATAGTTAATGTCAACAAATATTTCTTTTCATGTTGTGGAACAAATGAAAATTTTAAACAGATCCGTGTAACATCTCAGATGACTAAAAATCATCAAAATTTCAAAACTGAGAGTGCATTAACTGTCGGGAGCAGGCGAGAGAAACCTCGCCCGTGACAAGGTCTGGGTCCAAGGAGCTGGCATGCAAAGGCGTCCGGACCTCTGGGGGTTTCTCAGGACCGCCCCACTATCCACTCCCAGGCCTTCGTCCTTTCATCTTCTGATGCTTGGCATTCTTTGTTCCTTAAAAAACTAGTCTGACTCTAACCTAAAATCCCTCCTTGAAACATTTGCATGGCAGCAACACAGTCCCTGGGGGCACATGGCCCCAATAAACCGGCCAGAGGTAAGGAAAATACTACACAGAACATCCTGACTCTTCTGGATCTGCTGGAATGATGATTGGGAATTTAGAATCTGGAATGCTCATGATTGCACAAAAACCCTTCTAGTACAAAACCAAATCTGCTAGCAACAGGCCTATCTATCCCATAAGCAAAAGTAGATAAAGAGTCCATTAAGAGATTGAGAAGATTCCTTAGGGTGTGATCAGGAGGGAATT